GTCGAGTCGCCGAATATGGATCCACTTTTCTACCGTTTCATCTCGCAGAAAAGGGTAGCTTATTTTTGAAAGAAACGTTGGGTAGTGACATAGTGACATGGCAAAGTTATAACTTTACTATACTTTACTAATATTAATTGGATTTATGGTTGATATATCTGTGATTCTTCTATTTAAACCTCCATGTCCAAGGACATATCCATGTTTTTGAGTGGTTGCGGGGTCAGTTCACCCACTTGTAAATGCTTATATAGATACATATATCTGGGTAAATTATAGTAATTCACTAACCTGAAACTTGCGGCCATTTGGGGATAGTCACCCCTACTAACCACCATTCCCAGTGAGGGAAGACAGTGAGGTCGCAACTTGATTTACCCAGATATATATGTATAGTATTCATGGGCTTAAACTGTTACCCACATCAATAGTTGTTAAATGGTTAGTGATGGTATAACCACACTAGCTATGGGTAATTATCAACGATGGGTAATGGTTGGCAATTATCAACTATAAACCAACTGTAATCCATAACATTACCCTCTGGTAAACTAACATAACTATGGACAATCACCATTTTCAATGGGAAAACTCACTAAAAATGGCAATTTTCAATAGCTATGTTAGTTTACCAGGGGGTAACTCATTGCATTTGGCTTGGTTCACCATAGCGCTTGTATAAGTCCCAAGAAATTCACCAGGGTAAAATCCATGCTAATGTCTCACTTATAAATGGGGATAATCCATAACATGTGTTATAATGGTGATAATATATGTTATGTAATGATATGGACTATCCCCATAATGATAACCCAAATGCTAACTTATTATCTTGTATAAGTCTTATAACAGATATTAGATTTTTGTTAAATTACATGAAATTCATGTTATAACAAATATGAAAATATGCTTTATCTAACATGTTATCAGTTTATGTAAGTTTATTATCAGTTTATTATCTAACATGTTATAGTCCACTTGTAAATGGGATAATCTAAGAATAACCCATGTTCAGGGCCCAGCGCCTGGTTCGTTCAGGAGATCCTGACATGTTGGGCCCCCCAACAGGAAAGAAATATGTCCCTACTGTGGATGCGAAATCCTTCACCAGTTGGTAGTTAGTAGAGATCATCGAACTAAATGTAAGTTTTTTTTATGGGAAAATCAAAGGATAATATGCGAAAATCTACGATAAATGCAAGTTTAAATGGGAAAATCATCTAGAAATGGATGATTTTCCAATACGCAATGTATGATTACAGGTTGGTGAATGTCCTTTCTTGGGTATTATATTCACATCACTTAAAATATATTTCTTGGAGATTGCATCTTCAATAGTTGGGCAAGGTTCAATTAGGACATTTACCACCCCCATGTTTATGTTTATATAACTGTTTAAAGGATTATTGATTGATAGTGTTGTTTCTTTTTATCATCTAACATACCTATTGTCTCTAAATTATGGATGATCATTGGATCATTGGAAAATACATGATCTAGCAATATTGTGTTTAATTCATTTTTAATTCATGTATATATTAAATATATATATATATTGGTTGGTGGTTTCAACACCCCTGAAAAATATGAAAGTCAGTTGGGATGATTATTCCCAATCTATGGGACAATATAAAATTCATGTTCCAAACCACCGACCAAATAGTCATTATATTCCATTATCATCCAGAATCATTCCATTCAAACTGCCATAAGTTAGGTGGATAGATGGATCCAGTCTTGATCAAGTTGATTTATATCTCATTACATCCAATATATATATATAGGTTTCTAACATCCCATTCAACCAACATTTCTGTTGCTAGAATCCACCAGCATGGGATCATAGTCTCTAAACCATTCATAACGCACCATCCCTTATACCAAAGAGATGGGAAAATCGAACCATGGCAATATTGATAGGGTTTCATGACATTAATGGAATTTGATGGGATTTAATGGTGGTTTTCAATAGCTATGTTAAATTACCAGAGGGTAACCACTGAATCTTAGGGATAAATTGGAGGTTTCCCAGTCGATTGACCGGATGACAACTGCGCTTCTCAGTTCATCCAACTGGGCAATCCCTGCGTGTAGGGTGTACTCGGGGGATCATCCCACTTAGCGGATAATAAGCATAGTATACCCAAGTGGGTTATCCCATCTATAAATGGGGTTGCAACTGTACCTATTTCAACAACGGTATGCTACATATTTGTATACATGGAAGTAAATATGCATACATATATACATATATATATACAAATATATATATATATATATATACACATTCCATATATGTATCTATCTATCTATCTGTCGATCTATCTGTCTATCTGTCTATCTATCTATCTATCTATCTATCTATCTATCTATCCGTCTATCTATCTATCTGTCTATCTGTCTACCTACCTATCTACCTAATCTACTCTAATCTAATCAAATCTAATCTAATCTATCTATCTATTCTCTATCTATCTATTATTTATCTATTATTTATCTATGTTTATCTATTATTTGTCTATTCTTGTTCTATTTTCCTATTATTTATCTATTCTTTATCTAGTCTTTATCTATCTTTCTATCTTTCTATCTATATCTAGCTATCTATCTATCTGTCTATCTATCTAGCTATCTATCTACCTATCTATCTATCTATCTGTCTGTCTGTCTATCTACCTATCTATCTTTCCCTCTGTCTATCTATCTATCTATCTATCTATTTACCTATCTATCTATCTATCTATTTATCTATCTTTCTATAGTTCTATCTTTCTATCTATATCTATCTATCTATCTGTCTATCTATCTAGCTATCTATCTACCTATCTATCTATCTAATCTCTCTGTCTGTCTATCTATCTATCTATCTATCTATCCCTCTATCTATCTATCTATCTACCTATCTATCTATTTATCTATCTATCTATCTATCTATCTATTTATCTATCTATCTATCTATCTATCTATCTATCTGCCTATATCACAACAACTGTAAGTACATGTCTAGCAATCACCAAACAAATAGAAACGTGAAATCCTACAATATATTGGTAGGTTGAATCTGGTAACCGTTTCTATCTTGTCGCTGGGTTCTATGTGTATGTGTTTATATTTCATTAAATCCTGGAGT